ATTCGTTATTCTTAGATTACCTTGTACTGTTTAATCCTGAAACCAGGTTGAGGTTAGAGCGCAGGGAGAGGAGACGGATACGAAAACCCGCTCAGTGTTACTATCATGTTGGTTTAGCGTCAGAGCTAGGTCTGTGGCTGAATCTCACCTTAAATGGTAGGTTGCTTAGGGCATGAAATTATGGCTTCTACATCCAAATAGTGCACTAAATGTTAGATAGGATGTTGTGCAGCTATAACAAAATATAAGTGGCTGATACTCAAACATACAACTCACTTTGTGTGTAGGAGCCATTATATAAAGACCTATGAAGTGAGCACTACATAGGGAGTAGGACAGCATTTGAGATTGAGCCTATATTTTGCCCAGCTTTGTTAATGCTATTGTCATTATAGCGCCTGCAGAGGCTAAGAATGCTATCTTACACATCTATCTTATCTTATCTTTTCACTGATACACATGTAGGATAGGCTGCCAACCGAGCAGGAAGTAGTGCAAAATAAAATTACAAATAAAGTAATTAATACTAAAAAATATGTCTTTGTTAGGGTTCAACTTTAATTTAATCTACTGTAAAATGCTTACACATATGCAGTAAAGATCCTATATTGTTGGATGGTGCCAGAAAAGGTAATGTTGGAACCTGATAGGAAATCAGCAACAATGCACTGGAACTTTAGTTCCCCGAAGGTTCACACAATGCACTGAGCATCGCCTGTTCACTGTGCTCCCTGACTAGAAACAGCATCACGTCTCCAGCTTGACTTTCAGAAGGTTTAAAATGGAGGACACTGTCGCTCTCACTTGCCCCTTCACCTTGAAAAAATATTACGTTTTTGTGCTTGTGAATAAAAAAACTACCAACTGTAAACAATGTTTTAGTTATTTGTCATTATCTGTTTGCTACTAACTGAAGTTCACAATAACCTGTTGGCTAGCATAGAGACCCCACCCACCTATCAGCCACCTCAAAACCAAAAATAGGTAATATAAGCTTATATAAGCTTAGGTTATATAAACTGTAATTAAACGTATGCGTAGATTAATGTCCAAGACTCGTTTTAAAGAAAATGTCCAAGACTTGTTTAAAGAAAATGTATTTTTCAATACTGATGTTTTTTGTATATTTTGATGCTAACACTCCAAGAATGAGGGGCGTCCCCCAATATCGGCCACCTTGGTCACTTCAGGTTTTCTGTAGCTGCTTTAAAAGTGTATTGTCAGAGCTGGTTTATGAGGAGCCTGGCCACTTCCTATTTCCACCATCATATCAAAAAGACTGCAAAATACTAGAGGATGCCTGCGAGCAAGTCCTTAATGAAGGGGGTGAAAGGAGCTAAATGGCTAAAAAGGAAAATTTCTAATCACTTGTCCAGCACTTTAATTTTAGAAAATAGAAGGATGTATTTCACTAAAAAAGTAAAGAAAACTCACCTGTATATTTCCTTTTTTTCTCCAGAGTGCTGATTGGCTAGCATTACTGCTACTGAGTGCTGATTGGTTGGCATTACTGCTACTGAGTGCTGATGGGTTGGCATTACTGCTACTGAGTGCTGAATGGTTAGCATTACTGCTACAGAGTGCTGATTGGTTAGCATTACTTCTACTGATACTGATTGGTTGGGATTACTGCTACTGAGTGCTAATTGGTTAGCATTACTGCTACTGAGTGCTGACTGGTTAGCATTACTGCTACTGAGTGCTGACTGGATGGCGAGCGGAGCAGCTCGCTGGCTGTTCACGCTCACAGACGTCATGAACGTACATGAGGCGCCATTTTCAACTCCTGTGACTCGAGTTCAAAAACGCTTAAAATATAACAGCAGTGTTCAAATATTTTATGCTGTTCTGTGTTCAGAAAATGAATGGATTCTTTATTTTAAACATGTCTTAACATTTACGAACTATGATTCTGCTCAAAGCACCATATTAACCCATTCATTTTAAACACGCTTTAGAGCGCCCTCTAGTGTTTGACAAACACAGTAGACATTACAGAGTGGTAATTCTCCTCTCTACAAACTAACTTCACTTGCATGCTCTGATATTTGTTAATGTTTGCCACTACCTACAGAATAATCGAGAACCACTATATCTCACAAGTGTTGCAGTACATTTAATCATTTTGTGAACAAAATATGTTAAAGTAGACTGACCTACAAACAGGCTAAAAATAACAGCTAACATGCTAGCTAATTAAGTTCCTTTAGAAATATTCAGTTTACAGTGTATTAGCTACAGCTGCCATAGCTTAGGTGAACCATGGTTAGCCAGGCGCTAACATAACACTGGACAACCAGCAATGCTTAATGACATTAGCATTAAGTGTTTAAGTGTTTTTAAGTTTTGTAAGTGTTTTATGTGTCTATGTATGTATGTGCCAGATTGCCAAAGACAAATTTCCATGTCATGCAAATTTAATGAACAACAAAGTTTTCTTAAATCTTAAAATCTTAAATGTTAAATTATGATACCGGAATGAATCGCATGGTTGTAACTGGGTCTCAATGTAAACAAAATGAAAGAGTTCATGAAATGACTGGACTGTCTCCCATCCTAAAAATGACAGTATGGTCAAGAACAAGACATAGCTGATTTGCAAAAAACATGTTTAGTGTCTGAAGTTTACTTCACTGGTTTCCCACTGAAGCTATTACAAAAATAACAGGCAGGAGTACAGACAGGTTTAGTTTTAAGAGAGCTGCTGCTGCTGCTACTGTTTTTAGCTGTGCTCTGCTGTACTTCAGTCAGTTGTTATATACTATCATAAAGCACATAAACTTTTTGAGATTACTTTGAGGTAGTTATGTGTTATGATTTAGGCTGGCAATTTGCGCAATGCTAATTTGTGCAGGTGCTAACTACATTAGCTTTGTAGTTCCAATGGAAAACTAAAGCATCCTACTGATCCCAAACGTGTGCATTTAATTTTTCACCAACGTCCACTTTAAGTTGTAGTGTAAAACAAGTGGTCTGGCAATGTTACAGATATCTCACTCTGAAAGACATGAAATATTTCGAGCCACCGACCGACTATGATTACAAATCTCCTTTATAATCTGCACAGCATTTAAGTCATGCTGCTAAAAGCAGTGAGAAAGTGCTCCAGGGCCTCCGCCAGCTGTCTTAGGCAAGATCAGTCCAACATGTTTCAGTGCTGTCATATGTTTCTCCACTCCAGCTCTGTTTGGAGTCTGGGCCACAGCCCTGCCGCTGAGAGACTTGTGCAAGAATGCAGCTGGGCAGGAATATCCCTGCACATAACAACAACTGGCTTATTAACTTGTACATAAAAAAGCGAAAATTCACAGTTTTTCCAAAAATATCTGCATAGTTCTGTCATTAAGATTCAGACTGGGTAGGTGCAAAGAAATGTAGAGAAACGTAACAACCCAAGAACTAAAGAACCTGTATTTTCTTTACAATGGTGGTGATAGGAACCAGGGGTCACCATGTTTACAATGCAAATACAGTCATTTTATTTACTATACAAAATGACCAGAGAATCTACATGTGTCTACTGTGTTTTAGAGGAATGTCCATAATAGAAAAATGTAAAACCTAAAAAAAAAAACTCAAAAAAATTCTTTGGATACTTAGGATACCATTTCATGAATGGATTTAAAAACACAGTTTAGGCCAAAACCTTCTCAAAACTACTGTAAAACAGTGTGTCAGGCTGCAGGCAATGTTCATAACCAGTTTATGTAATAGCATTCCGGTAGCTTTTAAGCATTAAAGGGAAATACCACCAAATTTTTTAAAGGTTCTACATAATTAAACAGTGGAGATGTACATAAAGCCATTCCAACTGGTTTGGTGTGAAATGCTTCATTCTAGAGAAACTTACTGAGTCAGGATAATTCACAGTGGTGGTAATAGGAACCAGATGTCTGAACAGTTTAATGTCTTCTAAAGCTCCCTCACAGAATGTTATTACACGAAATAGTCACTGCCTGATGTCAGACATAATTTTATGACCTCATGAACATTACATATGAAAGCTCAGAAGGCACACTGATAATTTTGGATAGTAAGTAAAATGGTTATATTTGTTTTATAGACATCGCAACGTCTGGTTCCTATCAGCACCACTGTAAAAACAAAGAAATCTGAGTCTGTTAGTTTCACTATTTCACCATTTCACATCAAAGCACTCTGAATCACACAGTTTACGTCGCACCGACAGAATTATGCTTCCGGTAAATCGAAGTTCCCCTTTAATTCTTCAGACTTTTTATCACGACCGAAGTGAACCATTCTGACTAGCTGTGCAAGTTTCTCTACAATGGAGCACTTAGTTGTAAAACACTCTGGATTACTTTGTTTACCTTCATCTACCTTTATAATGACTTTGGATCAGCGGCTGGGTTAAGCAGAAATTTTGAAAAACCGATGGGCATCCCCTTTAACCTCTACCTCTACAGTTCCAGATAACTGAATGCCGTAGTTTGACGCTCCAGTCGAGTTAGGCTCGGGCTGTTTTCACCGTAAGAAAGCCTTCATTCATGCGCCACTCGGTCCGAGATGACCAAGGCCAGCTTTGGGTCAGACCTGTTACATCACCCATGTTCTCTGCTAGGCAACAACAAAAACATAAACAAGAAAAAATAAGTTTTCTCTCTGTAATTTCCATCACCTGATTCGCCTATACAACCGCCTACCACATTAATAATATTAGAAAACTCTTCTGCAGTAAAAAGCAGACACTTTCACTTGATCATCCACAGGTTTTAGGCCTGTCGGAACATCTCAGGGGAAATTATGATCACCGTCCCTGAAACATCAGAATCACCGTCGCCACACACTTACAAGCGAAAGCAGCGGTTAAAACTTTAAGCATCTACAATAATCGCTCGTTTTCAATTCCGTGACCAGTTAGCAAGAAAGTCAAACCTATCGCATCCTTTCCAAACACGAAAAAGTCGCCAGCCTGTCTCGAAAAGGACGCAGGAGCGAAGGAATTTATTCAGCCTCCCTGATAAAATGATTACTCTCACCTCGCTCTTCAGGGCGCAGCGCTGGGTCCAAACGCAGAGCAGAAACGAGCGCAACTCGCAGTTTTGAGCAGTTAAGTCCTCTTTTCTTGGTCCTCCTTGTGCTAACGGGAGTTCAGTTTGCTGGTGGTGATGTTTCACCCCTGCTGGAGTCACTTGCTCTTAGTCTGATGACGTTTCCAAGAATTTAGTGCAAATAATCTCTCCAGCCGGAAGGTGGGGTCGGAAAATAAACACCCGTGCCAGCTCTGTTGCGATGTTCAGTAAAATCGATGTAAATCGCTCCTTTAAATTCTTGTATATGAAGTTCTCTTCAGCTGTGACAAGTCCAGTTCACATGTTACACCCAGCTCTTCCACAGAGGTGTGGTGACACAGTGGACACACCCCATGTTCAGCTCGCTGAACTTCATTTGCCCGGTTTCCGTTCACGTCGTTTTCAGCCACTGTGGGGCGCTGTAGTGCGAGAGGACACGCTGATAGCTAAACTGAACGAGCAAAGTGAACCTGAAATTAAAATTGGCCTTTTTAACCGTTCACGTCCTCGAGTTAAAAGGGGAATTCCACCATTGTTTTAAATTTCTGAATAATTCAGTCCTTGAGATGTAAACAGTAATTCACAGTGGTTTGACATGAAATGCTTCATTGAAGAGAAACTTACAGAGTCTGACAGAAACCAGAGGTCTCTAGTTCAGGTTTCAAGTTTATTTGTCATTTGCACAACATGTCAGGACATTTATGCATTGTGGTGAGGCTCAGGTAATCACTCTACAGAAGTAAATAAGTCAAAATAAAAATACAAGAAAAACAAATTGAAATATATTAAATATACACAAATTGAGACAATATACATTTTAAAGTGACTTATGTGACTCAGTGTTATTGTTATTTAAAGTGACTTGGTGTTAAAGTGTTATTGTCCATAGCAGAGATATGATATAATAATAATGCTGACAGAGTGACTGAGTTAAGGACCCACAGCTTCACAGCCTGTTCAGAAGTCTGACAGCCTGTGGGTAGAAACTGTTCATTAACCGGGTTGTTCTAGCCTGTATGCTGCGAAATCTCCTGCCTCATGGCAGGATGGTGAACAGGCTGTGTGCTGAGTGACACTGTCTGACCCGATCTTTTTGACTTTCCTGAGGCAGTGGGACTGGTAGATGTCCTGTAAGGCTGGTAGCTTGTTGCCTATGATGGCTTCTGCCGTCCTCACCACTCTTTTAAGAAAAGGATTTAAAGGCGCTGCTTGCACAAGCCAGCACTCTCCCCGTCTTCCGCGTCTTGATGTCTACAAAAAAATATAGCCATTTTATTTACTATCCAAAACAACCAGTGAACCTACATGTAAGTTTTATATGTAATGTTGATAACTGATAAAGTTTTCTTCGAGGACTATTTTGCCTCACATGTACACCTCTGCCATGAATGGATAAAAATAAATGGATTCACACACATTTTAAGCGAAAACCTTTATCACAAAACTATCATAAAACAATGTGTCAGACATTACACAGCATATATCCAAACATTTCATGTAATAACTTTCTGTGAGGGAGCTTTTAGAGGTGGACGTCTGATTCCTGTCACCACCACTGTGAACAATTCTGACTCGGGAGGTTTCTCTAGAACAGAGCACTTTACACCAAACCACTCTGAATGACTTTGTTTACATCTCAGTTACATTATTATTATGCTTAAAGGGACACTCCACCATTTTTTCAAAAATTTAAAAAATTAAAAATGGCGGAGTGTCCCTGTAAGCATAATAATAATGTCATATCATTTAAAAGACAGATTTATTGGTTTACTGTATTTTTCCAACAAAATGTAATCACTTTGGGCGCCTCTAAACCATCTTCAGGTTTTGGATGACGTCACTGGAGGGGGGGCATTGTGTGTATTGGCTTCAGAATATTGTTTAATCACAGGGCACACAGCAGCGATTTTCCCCAATTTTTTTTCCCCATAGTGAAAACCTGATTGGACCCTCAGTTATATGGGCATGATGCCAGCTACAGAATGACAACATGCGTTTTTTAAACTACAAAACAAATTATAAACCAAGCAGGAAAAATCTAAATTATTAATAAGTAAGAGAAGAAATAAGCATTACATTTTAGGGAATACAGAGAATATATAATTTCTGCTAGCAAAACAAAAGTGTTTTTGCTAACTTTGTTCTAATGTATTAAGTAACATTAATTACAATGTGGTCTAAACTAGTGAAACAGAATTGGCCTTTTTTGTTGCACAAGAATAACAAAACATACATTCACAGACAGCCAGTGAATCCACATGTCAGACAGTTATCATGTTACATAAGAATACAAAAAGACTTGCAAAGTCTCAGTGTTTTTACGGCTTTTTTATTCTTTGAAATGGCAGTCACTTTCTACGGAGCCCCGCTGGTGACATCCCATATACATACAAATAATACATGGCCATGCCATATTAACACATGGGAACAAGATCCTAATGCGTGGCCACAACTTAGTAATGCGTGGGAAAGAGATACATAGTTCGTAGCCACAACTTAATAAGGTGTGGGAATGGGATCATGCCTTATTAAGCTGTGGTCAAGACTTAATAATCCCATTCCCATGCCTTAGTAAGTCATGGCCATGCATTAGGAGATTGTTTCGACGCTTTACTAAGTCATGGCCATGACTTAATCATCTCATTCCCACACCTTACTAAGTCATGGCCATGCATTAGGATCTCGTTCCCACGCCTTACTAATTCATGGCCACAAATCATCTCGTTCCCATGCCTTACTAAGTCATGGCCATGCATTAGGAGCTTGTTTCAACACTTTACTAAGTCATGGCCACAACTTAATTATCTCATTCCCACACCTTACTAAGTCGTGGCCACGCATTATTTTTATTTATACGAGATGTCACCAGCTGGGCTCCGTAATTTTCAAATAATTAGCTTCACTTATAAATACAGTCAATAAAAGCATTTTATGTGAATACCTAAATTTATGAATATGTAATTTTGCTCATAGTGTAATAAAAGTAATAATATTCATTAGTAATATTAATAAATATAATAAATATTAATATTAATATCTGCTTTGCCAAAAGAGATGTTTGTGAATAAAAATGGCGCATGTTCAGGCCAGGTGAAAAACAAGTAGCATGCAGGTTGCTAATGCTAAACAGGGTTTTGAATGACGTCACTGCCGTCATGGCGCTTCCGGACTGGACGCTGTGTTTCTTCGGCGTTGCCTCGGTCTTCGGAGGAGTCTGCATCTACCGCCTTCTGACCGGGGGCCGGAGGGGCTCATTGAAAAGAGGGCTTCTGAGAGAACTGATGGCTCGAACGGAGAGACCGCTGTTTTGGATCGCGTAAGTTCAGTCAGCTTCTTTTTTCCAATTTCCCCGTTCCACCTTAAACGGTGCAGCAGTTACATTCCGGCGCCTCGGGTTCCATAATGTAACTGCTGCACCATTTAAGGTGGAACGGGGAAATTCGAACAAGAATCTGGCGGTTCACGTTTTTTGTTGTTGTTGTTCTCCCGTAATCCCCGCTGTGTTGCTGCATCTGGTCGGTTCTTCACAACAGCGTGACCGGGTCGTGTTTCCTCTCAGGCGAATCACTGTGTTATTATTATTATTGTTATTATTATTGTTATGTGTGGTGTTTGTACTGATGGTTATCGTTTCGGAGTGGTAATGTCTAACCAGGTGAGCAGCAGCTGTGTATTACACACAGTCAGCTTTGATCACACGACTCTTAAGCTTTTCCAATGTGCACATATTAAACCAACGTGGTTAATGCAAAACATGAAACCGGTGACCCAACAGTAACAATGTCAGATTCATTTCGACAGTCAACAGTGTTCAGTGAACAAGCACTCCTAGAATGCCTTTCACGTGGTTTTTATCTAATCCCTAATTTATCTAAGCGATCTCTTAGATCAGTTAGTATATTTGGTGTTTGTCCTGTGTGGGTTTGTTTTTTGTGCTCTAGTTTATCATGTTTTTGGCAGGTGTTAGTAATGTATTCATAACCTTTCCATGCTGAAATAGTTGGCTGGCAAATCTTCATTTAGATATTATTAATATTGTGTGTGTGTGTGTATATGTATATGTGTATATATATATATATATATATATATATATATATATATATATATATATATACACACATACATATATGTATGTATGTATATATGTGTGTGTGTGTGTGTGTTTGTGTATGTATATTTCTTTATATATTCTATATATATTTTTGACTCGGGGGCCAAAGTGCAATGTTTGTGGTAAGCTGAGGGCCAAAAAGACAGAATAATAAACAAATAAAGTAGGTAGGTTTCAAACTGAGTTTATAAAGGTGTATTTTATAACATTACTTTATATTGTATCATTAAAATACTCCAAAAAATGTAATTAGTATATAGCCTAGTGGTAGGCGAGGAGCGCCAGCAACCGGAAGGGGTCTAATTGCAGGACTGGCTATGCCTCTGGGCAAAGCAGTTAACACCCCCCCAACACACACACACACACACACACACACACACACACCACCTCGACTTCTCTGCTGATGACGCAGTGCTGCTCCCAGACTGGGCATAGTTAAGCAGTCCAAAATGACAAATTTAGTCCAAAATCCTTTAAATCCATTTGTAAACATTTTGGATATAACAAGTTTTTGAAAAGAATAACAGCTGATTTATAGTTGAAAACGCATTTAGCCATCTTTTGCCCCCTGGCAACACTTTTTACAGCCTTGGTCTAGACCAGTACTGGGGAACACCGTCACATAGATTTTCACTTTTTTCTGCAGGTACTCACTGTACACACGGACCAAGCTGGGCTACGTGTTTCACAAACGTCAGATGAAGAAAGCACGGGAGAAATACCCAGCAGGCCACTCCCGAGCACAACCCACCACCATAAACGGTATGAGTAGTTCCCCTCAGCATCGTCCAAGAGAAAGCACTGCCTTTACTTTTTGTGATCTCTTGCTTAGGCATCAAGATCATCCCTGTGCCCATTCTGTCAGACAACTACAGCTATGTCATTATTGACACGGCATCAAATCTTGCTGCTGTGGTGGATCCTGCTGATCCTCAGTTTGTGCAGGTAGGTCCATTCCCACCAGAACTGTTTGGCTACTGTCAAGTTTCAGCACCAGAGCACATATAGCACATGTGGTTTGGGGGAAAAGCCTCAAGTGGTGTTCCACAGTACTTAAAGCCTGTGTAATTTATATCAGCTTAATTCTTTTGGGAAACTTCCATGACAAGTGGTGAAGTCTGAGTCCTGCCTGAATGTGCTCGCAGGCTTTCACTGGTGTTGAAACATAGGATTAGTGTTTGCAATTCTTTGGTGAAAACACTCTATTCAGTAGCCAGAACTGCTGTTTTGGATGGCCATGACAAGTTTGTGGGAGGGTCAAACCTTCAATTTCACTCTTGCAGCTGGTGGCTACACTGAAGTAGTTACTTAAGCATAAGTGTGAGTCATCTGCTTGCGTCGCTCTCAGATCAGGGATAAAAGAGAAAACTGAGATACGCAAAACCCAAAACTCGTGATAGGAAAATAAAATGTGAAATGGCTACAATTTTCTGTATTTTTCTGGCATTTATGCTTTTGGATTTAATGCCACATTCAGAGTTGAATAACTGTTGTATTTATGTAACGCCATATGGCTGCTATGTTATTTTTGTGCTTTGAGTAAGCTGTGTTCATGCTTCCGGTCCATCCGAGGCTAAGATGTCTATTTTGGTCACAAAGCTTAGCAAACACCTCATAGCCTGTGGTTATTGGTTAAAGTGGAATATCTCATTGATCAATATTAGAGATGCACATGGATCCTCGAGTACTCGGTTAACCGTACAAGGTTTTAGTATTCGAATACTGAAATCACTGTTCAAATACTTGTTCAGTTTCATCACACGAAGACAGACAGAGACAAAATATAGAGACCAAAGGTTCAGTGAAGTTCTGCTTTTAAAGACCCCAGGTGCCCTAAATCTGTGTTTTCTTTCTAATTGAGTTAATCTTGTTTATGCAGGCAAACAGTAAACATGTACCCTTTGAACTCTGTTCCAATGACCAATAAATGACAAGGCTGACGTCTCTTGCCCCGCCCACACAAAATCTTGTTTTATCATATTTCTATCTTTGTTGTTATATAAACATTTTTAAAATTTTACTCTGCTTTTCCTGGGACGTTTTAACAGGACTGTAAAATGTTATGGTGTTGCTCATATTTGTGAGTGAATATGTTTATTACAATGTGCCACTCCACAATACGAATGCCTGGACGTGAGTGCATCACTAAAGACGTGTTGTTAGGCTGGGACTGAAAAGGCAGATGTAGTGCAGCTGTATAACTTATTAGGCTAACTGGTCTAGTTGATGTCATCTAGGTCCAGAAACCATGGAAATGTTTCTCTGAAAAGCTAGCGCGTTGGCACATCATCTAATGAGGAGAAAGTACCTTGTGTTCGACGAGTTCTCATCAGAATCCAGTGCTGTACCAGTGAGCTGTAGTTTTAGCCCACATCTGAAGAGGGATCCTCTGTTACTCATCCAACATGAAAACAACCAACTTCCCTCAGATTTTTTAAAATAATTAAACATATTTTCAAATGTAAACCGGGTGTGTTAACTCTTGCAGGTACTCGGATATCGAAAATTAGTCAGAATGCTCATTTCTACTCAGCATCAAAAATAGAATTACGAATATGTCACATATTTAGTGAATGTATGTTCATATAATTAAAAAATATTGAAAATACATTTGATTGGTCATTTTGGGTGGGCTGTAAACAAAACTGTGTGGGCCTAGGCCCACTATTCCCAGTCATTCGTCTGCTACCAACTCTTATTTCTGAAATATGGTACTGATTTTTTAAAACCTTGTAACACCAGAGCTATAACCTAAAATAGAAAGCCTCTAGTCATACATTCATTTTGGTTGAAGTACTTCTTTTCCTTCTTTGCGGTTAACCGGATATTTCATTCATTAACTTTTACAGATACTCGGATATCAAAATTAGTCGGAATGTAAAAATACAATTTAATAATACTGAAAATACATTTGACTGGTCGTTTTGGGTGGTCCATTAACAAAAGTGGGTGAGCCTAGGCCCTCTGTTCCCAATCATTCGTCTGCCACTGACATTTGTGAGATTTGACTTCTTTTTCCTCCTGCCTCGCTGTGAGATTGGTTAAACATGATTACACAAAGATTCTGGGCAGATAAAAGAGGGCCTTTAATATGGAATTGCACCATAATGATGAAGAAAGTGAAAACATGTCATGCTGTCCTGTATCTCATTTCATGGTCTGCCTTTTCATCCACACAGGCTTGCCTGGTAGAAGAAGGGGTGACATTAGAAGCCATTCTTTGCACACACAAACACTGGTGAGTAGAGGAGTGTCACAGTGATATGTGAAGGCTGGAGGAGCATCTGGCTTTGGATCAGTTTATTTTTCTAATTTGAGCTGATAATCTAATGCAATGTCAGTTAAAAGAGTCCACATCTGGGTTTGATGTGTCTGTAGGGCACTAATGTGGAATGTCAACCTTGGTTCTGCGTCAGAGGCCCACGCTGTATTGTAGGGTGTCAGGATTCAAGTGTTAATATTAATTTTATTTGATACAGGGTTTCAAGAGCACATGTGCTGATGTGTGTTACTGGGAATGCTTTCTGTAGTTCTTTTTAGCTCAATTCATGATCTTCATTCCTAAAAGTAATAACTGTCAATGTAAATGAAAAAGTCTGGCAAATAAAAAGCTGACTTCAGCTTTATCTACCTTGGATGGTTAATTAGCCAAGCTGTTTGAAATGGTGAGCGGAGAGAGCAAACTTGAGCTAGAACGAGTGAAATCGCATTCATCTCCTATTTGGGCACAATTTGGATTCCTGGTCAGCTACAGTAATGCTAGTCAAAGAGCGGTAGACCAGATGGTGACAGAGTGCCAACATTTATATTTCTGGAAAAAAAATTGGGGAATTACCAAAAAACAAATAATCAAACAAACAAATGTGAAAGTTATTTCAGCATTTCCTTTCTTTTTTTTTCTTTTTTCATATTCCCGGGCCAGTATTCCTTGGCCGCACCACCACCCCCCCCTTTTTCAGGGGACATAATTTTTTTTTTTTTCATTTCAGCATTAATATCACAACTCATCGTTTATTAATGATCATTCAAATATAAGGTGATGTGGTACCACAACCACCCAACCCCCCTCCGAACACCACCCACACACCCACAGACCCATCCACCCACCCTTTGCTTTGAGTGAAAGAAAAAACAGAAATAACTGAGAGACAAAACAGAAGAAGTAAAGAGAAAGAATGAAATAATGATAATAATAATAATAATAACACCAATAATACTCAACAATGGACAAACTGGACATACAGGACAGACAAACACGAACATTTAACGGAACAATAAACAAGGTAGTTTTGCCCCCTTCCTTTTATTTTTTGTTTTTTATTGTTTTATTTTTTATTTGTATTATTTTTTTTCCCCTTTCTAATTCTGTATTCTGACAATGTGTCATATTGTGATGCAGAACAGCAATGCACTATATTGTAAAATTTGCATATTGTTACACTCCTAGTGTTTTGTTCAAAAGTTTAGGGGTTATTTTTGGCCTAAACTACAATACATTTTGTCAGCAAAGTATAGAACAGTTATGGAAAACATTAAGAATAAATAAATATAGCTGGTTTAATTGAATGCTTCATAAATTTAGAGCACAACAAACTGCACCATTAGAGCAGAAATAGCAAAGAAATCACATGTGGGTGCAGCCCCCACACACCATTAGTACAGCGCAGGAGCTGCAGAGAGACAGGATCATAATGTTTTAGTAAGTTATTATTTTAAACACGGTTTGATATAAAATAGATTTGGGGCATAAAAAAAAAGGGCTTGCGTTTTGACAGATGTAAGATGCATGTCCAGCGCGGTCCTGTTTGACAATCTTCTTTATTCAAATTGTTTTTAAAAGCAAGTGTTGAAAATCTTTTGCCCCAAACATGTTTTAAACATTTGAAAAATGTGAGTGCAGAGTGTGACATCACCACAAGGAAATACAATGCACAGTCTTTGGCGTTATTCCCAAAGTAGTACCGTCACATGCATTTAAACGTGATCTTGTTATTATTGCACACTGAAGTTACTCCAAACCGACAAAGAAAACATGCTTATTTGTATTACAAACATTTTGAGAAGCTGAGTCCTCAGACTTTTAACGGCTAGTGTATGCGGCTCTTGTGTATAGTAGTTTATGTATGTCTGTTTTTTTTCCAGGGACCACAGTGGAGGAAACAGAGCCCTCAGAAGGCTCCACAGCTCCTGTAGGGTGTATGGAAACCTTATGGACAACATTCCTGGCCTCACACAGTAAGAGCCTTACACCTCAGTCCTGTAGCCTCCACACCTCTGTTGATATTGGGGAAACCACACTGGGCCTCATGCCAGAACCAGTCGTGCAACTCATTTTTACAATACGAGCGATTTATGAGAGCTGCGTTCACAGATCCACTCAAGCGTCTTTTAGTCAAGAACGGAATTTATGAATGGCCCGTCACACGAGTCACGTACACCTAGTCTGCTTTGCTCTGAAGCTAGAAGCCTATTTTTTGTGTGGATGGATTGTATCCATTGCAGTAGTTTGAAAGCATTTTGTGTTTTAAATATATTATATATATATATATATATATATATATATATATATATGAACCTTCATAATGTGTAATCACGTTGGTTGATAGTTTGAAGTAAAATATATAATTCAGTTTTGTAAATCAGCAATTTTACAATATTGCAGTACCTATATCAACATCTCAAACTGCAAAAACTAAAAACGTTCAATATTTTTTGTGTTTCATATTGTTTTAAAGTCCCCAGGAACATATATAACAAGTGTTTATATGACATGAAAATTATTAACCAGTTATGTAAAACATTGAGCAAATGTTAAATGTAGACATCAAAAGTATAATAAAACACTGCATAAAATCATTTATTAAACCTATCTGAAAACTATCTGGGTGTGGTCCTAATATTCTGGTGAGCACACGTTGACATCTCTCTGCCCAACACGCTCAGCCTGCTCATCCACTGAAGCAGAACGAAATGAGTAAAATGGGCTTTACATTACAGTCGTAGACTTTGCGTTCTTGTATCTGTCACTGTTAAATAACATGAAATAAATAAATAAACAAATGAATAAAACATTGTCCAGCATTTATATGGCGATCTCTTAAAGAAGGTACGGTTCTAATTTACTTCACTGCTGGATGTACATCCAGGAAATGCTGGCATGGACAAAGAGACAAACAAACAACTGACCAATAAATAAGCTTGGTAGCTAAGTTATGCATGCCAGGTTAGCTGTCGCTTGGTTATTAGCTTTCCCTCACTTGTTCTCTGACTTGGTTCTCTGATTCGAACTAAGAGAAACTGTGGAGGCAGGACAAGCTTTGTGTTCGGTCAGTATAATGCTTACACAAGCTTTAAGATCTAATATTAGGACCGCCCAGTTTACACTGAAAGGTGTAGTATTTTGGCAAAATAACTGCTGTTTATAGGAGGTTGTAAAGTTATTTAAAGGACCTACTTTGTGCATGCATATTGCGTACCCATAACATCAGGATTAACCTAATTACAAATAATTTAGCATTTAGGTTTTCTGGGGTTTTAATGATTGATTGATCATCTTTCTGCCACAGTCAGTTGGCCATGTGAATTGTTTTGGGACACTCTGCAAAGTGGGTATATTTAAAGAATGTAGTGTACAAAGCCAAATGTGTGACGAGTTAAAGCTCTTTTAGCTGTTTATGCTTGACTGGCCTGTGTTTTTGTTGATCTGATGAAGTCATCATTCCACTTTATGCAGAAATTCCTGTGCATTTTATCACTCAGCCTCATACTTCAGCATGCCTTTAAAATAGCCAGTAATAGTCAGTAAGAATCTAAATCTGGTGCTCTGGTCTCCACAGCAGTGTTACTCTAGACATGACTGTGTTTGGTAGCTGTTTTAAAAAGAACAGACATTTTGGAAAACAAAGTTCTGGATGCCACAGTGCTGTATTTGACTCCATGCTGTGCTCTGCGTTCTGTAGTCCTTTAACAGACAAAGACACCATAGATGTTGGGACGCGTCTGCGCTTCAGGGCTTTTTACACCCCTGGCCATACTGTGGGTCACATGATCTACCTCTTGGATGGACGAGCGTTTGGGGGGCCCAGCAGCCTCTTTTCGGGAGACCTGGTTTTTCTCTCGGGATGCGGTAATTTTGACAACGTTCCTCAGATAAATACATATGAACATAATATCTGTTACATTTGCACAGTAAGTTTATTGTGTAGAACCCAACTGAGATACTGGTTGGCCAGTAGTATTGGCTGATCTTGACACTGCGCGATTTTATCAGAATTGGTAAAAATATTATAGCTTTCTGGTCGCAGCATTAGTAGTATTCAGACTTACTATCTCCTAACAATAGGGTCAAACCACTGGAGAACCCAATCTGAGTAACCCTCTGATTAACTAGATGCCCTCCCTTCGGGAGTATGTGAAGAAAAACGATAATGAATAAGACAAGATTTTTTATTAATAAATGTAAAAAATTTAATTAAAGGGGAATTCCACTATTTTTAAAAAGAATTATTTTGTAATTCAGACGATAAGGCTGGATACAAACAAAGTAAACAAAGTCATTGAGAGCGGTTTGATGTGAAATGGTTCTTGTAGGGAAACTTACCAACTGCAGTTTCTTTAAAATGGTGGTGATAGGAACCAGGAGTCGCACATAAAAACATGGCAATTTTTCTTCCATCCAGTGACCAGTGAACCTACACTCCTCCTAATGTTTTATATACAACGTTGATAATAGGAAAATAGTCATAAATCTAAAAAACACTTTTTCTTTCTGGACTGTTTTGCCTTTGAATGTCCAGCATGTACCTCTCCAACATAAATGGATTTTAAAAATACACTTCACTATTAATATATTTAAATAAAAATCAATTTTAGGCCAAAACCTTATCTTAAAACTATATAATACGCTGTTAACTATTAACTATTAAATGATGTCTCGGGTATCAGACATCGTATTTGTAACCATTTCATGTAATAGCTTTCTGTGATGTTGCTTTTAGAGGCATTAAACGCCTCTAAAACCAACAGGTTTTTTTTTTTAGAATGGCACATTTCACATCAAACCACTCTGAATGTTTACTTTGCTTACATCTCAATGATGGAATTATGCAAAATTTTTGAAACATCAGTGGAATTCCTCTTTAACAGAAACTAAAATGCCGTTTTAATTCTGGGTAGCTCCACCTCTAGTTGTACAATATTTGTAATATTAAAGGCTGAGAAAATTGAGAACTGACAGTCATATCTGTTGTTAAAGCACTGTTAACTAAAAATATTGGATTATAAAATAAATATCTCAGTCAGACAAAATTTTTAGCCCCTTCAAATTGGTTTGTGTACCACAGAAATTTATCTCCAGTAGTATATCATGAGTACTGTGAGTATAAATGCTATACATATGCGCATATCATATATATGTTAATGCCAAATTACTGTGTTAATTCATTATAGCTGGTAAGTTGTGATGTAACCTTAGAGCTGCCTAAAAGAACTTGAGTCATTTAGGCCTGTCCTGAGTCTATAAGAGCATTTATATATACATTTATATTACTGCCAACAACAGATTAACACTGTTTATCCTTATAGGGCGAATGTTTGAAGGCTCTGCTTCAACAATGCTGTCATCTCTGGACACAGTCGGCTCACTGAACGACGACACGCTGCTCTGGCCCGGTGAAATTCTAATTCCCTATTACAACATTTCTGTTAATCTGTCACCTAGGAACAATAACATTGTGCCCTGACCTGGCCTGTGCCGTAATTCTGCTGCACCCACTGTAGGAAAAAATAAGAGCTACAGTGTTGAAATTCATTGTGCAAGGCTGCATTTTAAGACAGAGTCTTTCTTTATTAGGTCATGAATATGCTGAAGATAACCTGCTGTTCGCTGCAGAAGTGGAGCCTGGTAATGTGGTACGAGAACAGAAGCTACAATGGGTCCTGCAGCAGAGGGGCCAAAGACTGTGCACGGTGAGGAGGCCTGGCATGTTCCTCTCTGCTCTGATTAAAGCTTTATTCATTCACCGAGTTTTGAATCTGATCCCAACTACAGCCTGACAAAACTCTGTTTAAACTCTATAGACATTTCACAATGTCTGCATAATTAATTCGTTAAGATGTGTGTATATATATTCATTAAACGTTCCTGTTCGAGGGAAACGTCAGAGTCGTGTACAATAGTGGTGATAGGAACCAGACATCAGAAGCGCTTAATGCCTCTGAAGGCTACTTCACAGGAAGCTACTACATGAAATATGTTAGCCGATGTCTGAGACATTGTTTCGCAATAATTTTGAGAAGATTTTGGCCTAAAATGAACTTTTTAAAAATATATATTAATAGTGGAGAGGTACATGCTGGGCGTTTTAAGGCAAAATAGGACCCAAAGGTATTTTTTCCTGACAACTTTTTTACCATTAACAGTGTTACATAATATTACATTTAAAAAGACAGGTATAGGTTCAGTGGTTGACACTGACAGCCATTTACATGCCACAACACAAGTGACTCCTTCATTCCATATTAAAAATTGTTTAAAGGGGAATTCCACCAACATTTTATAATTGCTGCATAATTCAATCGACGTAAAAGACGTAAGCAAAGTCAGAGTGGTTTGATGTCAAATGGTTAATTGTTAAGAATTTTACTGACTCAGGTTTCCAGGTATTGAGATTTCTACAACACAAATATCACATTTTTTTTTACAATCCAAAACGACTAACTCTCTGCCATGATACCATTTAAAAATATGTATTAGGCCAAAACCTTATCTGCTTTTATAACCATAACTTTTAGTGAGGTAGCTTTTAGAGCGATTAAAATCCATGGAGGTGTGGTTTCTTGGATGTTGATGGATGTTGATGGATGGCTGGATGGATGGCTGGCTGGATGCCTGGCTGGATGGCTGGATGCCTGGCTGGATGGATGGATGGATGGCAGGATGGATGAATGGATGGATGCCTGGCTGGATGGATGGATTGATGGATTGATGGCTGGATGGATTGATTAATTGATTGATGGATGGCTGGATGGATTGACGGATGGATTGATGGCTGGATGGATTGATGGATGGATTGATGGAAGGATTGATGGTTTAATGGATTGATGGATGGATTGATGGATGGATTGATGGATGGATTGGTGGATGGATTGATGGATGGATGGATGGATGGATTGATGGATCCCAGAGGGAAATTCTTCTATTGCAGCAGTACAAAGCACAGTAAAGAGCATAACAAGAGCAAAACAATAAAAAAAAATGAACAGGATCAAAGTATTGCCGTACACCATTTACAGATATATAAAAAGAAAGTAGAGTTAAATAATACAATAAAATATACTAAAACTATAGAAGTACAAAAGAAGAAAAATAGAAGTAATGTGCAGTACAAAAATACAGTAACTGCATGAATACTATGCAGTTGACAGTGCAGTGGCCGGTCCCTCCAGTGAATGAACTACTGACTATGGACTGTAGTAATGAATGTTAACAGTTTACCTTTAACAATTTGACATTTATGGATGCGTAAACAAAGAGACAGTGCAGTGTGCAATATTAGTGGACAAATGAACAAAATAACCATCACGTTTCACAGCAAAATACTCTGAACACCTTTGTTTACTTCTGAACCATTTGAGTGGAATTTCTCTTTAAGACGGTGAAAGTAAGGAGGAAGAATTAAGTAGGGAGAACAAATAAAGCAGAGGTAAATGGAGGCCAAAATCTGTTTAAAGCTGGAGCGAAGCTCAGAAAAAGTGAAATGCAAACCTGACTCGAGCCACCTGTTTGGACAAATATTTCAAGCTCTGACTCTTATTACCTTCTTTTTCTATTCTGTGAGCAAATTAAGCCTAGTTTCTGGATTTTCTAGTGTTGCTTCTGGTTCTAGTTTCCAAGATTTCTATTCTAGTTTCCAGTTCAGTGCAGGAAATAGGACATGATCTCCCTTGAGTTCTCATTTGGCAGGTTTTTATTCTGTGTCTTTGCTTAATTCTGTGCCATTAGTTCTCGATTAACATAATTTATTTTGTTTTTGTTTTGTTTAGTTTTTTAATTGTCCTCTTTTTTCCTCTCCCACTAGAGCCCATCTACACTGGCAGAAGAAAAGCAGTACAATCCATTCCTAAGGAGCCATACTCAGGATCTCCACCGAGCCTTAGGCCTGCAGCAGAACCAGGATGAGGACTGGACCTCGTACAGAGCCCGAGTTTTAGAGGAGCTGCGCAGGCGAAAGGACATTTATAAAGGCCGCTAGCGCCCCACCTAGAATTGGAGGGCGAAACTACTAAACCCATTCCAACTGGCCCTGTTGTTTTCCTCACTCAGTGTTTGGACTGCTTCATGAGGAGGGCATTGATGGAAATGTAGACTGTGAAGTGAAACATGAAGGTTACAGTTTGCACAATTTTGAAACCTTTGGGCATTATTGAGATGCTGTTGGCTGAATTTGCTGCGGCGAGTTGTTTTTTTCCAGGATTTCAAGACAAGGTTGAGTGATTTGTATCCCTGTGATCATACCGAAAGATCTACAAATTTATAGAGATAGATTGTGTTGTGCACACCCTCCCCTGTTTGAAACACTTCACCTTTCTCTAGTTCTACGCAGAACAGCAGACCATGTTTATGTTCTCAAGGATTCCATGCAAACTTGTGCTGGCCAACATTGTGGGTTGCTGTTCTGCACAGAGATAAACCCAGCAAACATGCCCCCACTGGCCCTCTGTGGACTGACTGCGGGCACTATAGGTTTGGGCTAACCTGCACCCCTGTTCTGTACTTGTGGCCCACTGAGCTATGGATTTGGACCCACACAAAACCCTTTTGTAGTTAGGGCTGAGTAGTGCAGGGCCAACATTGAGGGGTCAGTCATATGCCTCTGCAGGCAGCCCATTGTGGGTCATTACTTGAGCCCCAAGTCATTGGTAGGAACCCCAGTCCTGGAGGGCTGGATTCCTGCACAGTTTGGTGATTTTTCCTACTCAAGCACACCTAATTCAACTCTTCAGCTATTTACCAGGTTTAGTTGGTGTGTTAGAGCTGGGAAATCACCAAACTGAGCTGGACTCTCAGTTCCCCATCCCTGCCCTAAGTGGACCCCCTACTAGGTCGCTTGAACCTTTGCCAACATTGAGCCTCTGATAGTGGTTTGAATCATGCACTTTTGAATCTGATAGTGGTTTGAATCATGCACTTTTCAGTAATTAAGGTACTAAAAGCACTGTACATTTGTCCTTTTGTGAATAATAAACCACTTTGTGAACCCATTTTCTGCCGTCTTTGCTGCTAATTAAATTTTCAGTTATGGGTAGGCAACATGATATTTTATTGCTATTGTAATAAATTACATCACAATATGTTTTTCTGAGCATATCGTGAATATCATCAGTACTTAAAGAACACTGTTCAACCGCATGCTTCATTACAAGGAGACATAATTAGGTCTGTATCATTGAATTTATTGTGGTGCAATATGTGAAACACTGAACAAAAAGCATTGTGTTTATAGGTTTTATATTAACACAAAATACTGGTCCTTTTTTGTCTGTTCCACCTTATCAAACTCAGAAACAAATAATATCCTGGTACATATCGTTTATCATGAAAATGGCTTCAAATATTGTGATTATATTTTTGCCATATCACCAGAGCTGGTTTATGAGGAGCCTGGCCACTTCCTATTTCCCCCATTATATCCAAAACGGGACCGTTAAACAGCAGAGGGTGCCTGCGAGGGAGTCCTCAATAAATGGGAGTAAATGGCGCTCAACGGCTAAAAACAAAAAGGTAAACTAGTTTCTAATCACTCGCCCAGAACTTTAATTTTATAAAGTAGAAGGATGTATTTCACTAAAAAAACGAAACTTACCTATAAATTTCAGTTTTTCTACAGCAAGCGGGTTTTGGGCAGCAGGAGGCGGGCATTACTGCTACTGAGTGCTAATTGGTTGGCGAGCGGAGCAGCTGATTGGCTGTTCGTGCTCACTGACGTCATGGACATACATGAGGTGCCATTTTAAACTCCTATAGCTCGAGTTTAAAAGCTCTTAAAAATATAACAGCAGTGTTAAAATGCTTTATGCTGTTCTGTGTTCAGGAAATGATTATATTCTTTTACATGAAAAATGTTTAAGCATTTATAAACCATGAATTTGCTCAAATGCTTCATATCAACCCATTAATTTTGGACTCGTTCGGGAGCGCCCTCTAGCGTTGGAGAAACCCGAAAGACATTGCGGAGCGGGAATTCTCCTCTCTACAAGTTCTCTGGTATCACCCACCCCCGTGTGAATTGAACTGCGCAGCTATAGCAAGGTTTACGGCACATGTTTACCTCACCGTTGCCATGGAGCCGTTGGATCGGTTGACGAGTTTGAGGAGTTCGCTCAAAACATCTTGCTTTCTCCTGATATCTTTCTATCAAATTATCCATTTTATCGTCGTTTAGCTGTATTTTTTTCTATTAATGTGCTATTAAAATCGCCACAGCACGTTTGCTGTTAGCGAGCCAGCTTATCTGACTGTTTAGTTTTGGTTCTGCGTGAACACAACACAGCTTAAGGCTACAATTTGGACGTGTTGCCAACAGTCAGTCAGTCAGCTTTAAAACAGGACATATTCATCATATTATAACGTAATATTAATATTATAATAATATTAAAAGCCATGAAGGAGCCTGATTCGTTGCATGGGAGAGCAGAAGAGCTAAAAGCCTCGAATGAGGCATTAGAATTCCTTTCCAGTATCAGTAAGTGATTTCAATTTTTATATGTTGTATTTCCTAAACTTTATAAGATGCTCCTTTATGAGAAGAGCTGTTCTGGGAGCAGCAGTGTCAGCTGCGAGTCTGAGATAATAACCATCTGGTAATGACACCAGAAGTCTGTCATGTACTGAGCTGTTCTCTGACCATTCCTCATCTGATCTCTAACCTCTGGTGTCCTCATTACATGGCACTCTTTGCAAATGTGTTAAAGAAATAAAACAAACAATTATGTTATGAAGATTCAAACAGTTATGCAGTTGAATTTACCACTGAAAACAGTGAAACGTACATTTGTATTTAATAATTTTCATGTGGTGCCACACAGGCATGGAAATTAAATTTCCACTGATTTTTGTTCAAACTTTCTGCAAAGTTAAATAAAAAAAATTAAATTAAAATTCTATTAAATTGTGAACCATTTTGATTACTAAGTCAAATTGGTTCACAATGACAGGAAATGTATGTGTTGTTTCCTATCAGCACCATTTTGAAGAAATCAGTTTCTAATTAAGTTGTCTATGCTCTTAAATAGATCGTTCTTCAAGGGTTCTTTAGTAAAGGGAATACTTCTATTTAGAACCATGAGTTCTATATAAAACCATTTCATGCTTAAATGGTTCTTTGCATGGTGAACTGGTTCTTCAAATTGGTTAGAATGTGTTGTATATGGTTCTATATAGAACCTTTTTTAAAAAATGATTCTATATATCACCAAAAAGTGTTCTTCTATAATACAATGTCAAGCTTGTAACAATTAAAGAACGCTTTATGCTGCTATATAGAACCATTGTGGTTCACTAACACATTCTCTGTCAATCTGAAGAACCATTTCATTATGCAAAGAACCATTTAAGTATGAAACGGTTCTATGTCAAACTCATGGTTCTATATAGAACCATTTCCTTTACTAAAGAACCCCTGAAGAACCATCTTTTTAAAGAGTGTACGATATAATATTTCACTTCAAACTAAACTCTGAATTACTTTGTTTGCATCTCAATGATCTGTTTATGCAGAAATGTTGAAAATTCTGTGGAATTACAATTTAAAGCTTTCTTTATGTCGTAATGCATCCAAATTGGTGAATAAAGGCAAAAAGTTGTCATTCCTAGATCTTGAGGTCTAGTACCCAAAACATTCAGACAGTCTATATTTTTATTGTCTTAGGTTAAACTGAACAATGACTTTTAAACTATTTGGTTTAAGTTTTTGTAGCCTGAATCTTTATGAGTCTTGATAATAAAGTTTTTTTTTTCTTTTTCAGGTCCCAGAAAAGTCGATCAGTGCTTGTTTGTAGACTCTCTGGTGACTGTATCTGACAGTGGAAGGGAGCTGGGAGAATTCTGTGTTAGCGTACAGAAGGCCAGCTACCACAATGAGCCCTGCTATCTGGTTCATGCCAACAGTCACGGGACAATCGATAACATACCCTGTGGCACTTCCATTGTGGGTGAGTCTAGAGGCGTCTGTGCATAATCGTTTTTTTTAAGTAATGCTCCAAAATCTCTGTAACATATTTTTATTGGATGCACTTCAATGATATTAATGACTCATTAAAGTCAATCAGTTGTCTTTGTTCTGACTATGAACAGCCTATGTATCCAAGAGCCTTGAGACACTTGAACAGAATCATCATGAATATATGAAGGTATCCTCCCACTAATTGGCTCTTTGATTTATTTTTGTCTTGTGTTCTTCTTGCCTATGTACGTCTAATATTGCAGTGGCCAATAGGTCATTCTGAAGCACAGTCAGAATTTCAATTTGGCTTTCATCTGGTCGAATTCAATTTCATTTAATGCCCCAGATGCAGGGACACACATTGGACAGGAAAGTAAACATCGTGAGGCAAGACGACCATCTAGTGGTGAACAGAGTTATTACAGAGAAAGAGGTGAGGAGGCTATGCATCTTCATATACTACACACCACATGGCAGCATAACGCTGTTGTTGGAAGAAAACCTCATGTCTCCAAAACGGTAACTTCACAGGAGAAGGAAAAAACACACTTCACTTTTAATGTAATTCAATGGAACCAGACGTTTTCCCCGAGTCATTTTGGGCCGTTTCTTTTGGTCCATCCACCATGAAATTTATGCATAATATATAAGAGCAACAAGCATTTTCAATTTACGTCAAAAGCTGAAAAACGACAAAAATTGATATATGAGGTTTTCTTCCGACAGCAGCATTAAGTTATCTAGTGTGTGTGGGGACTGGGCAGAACTTTCTGAATGATCTAAGATTACACAGTCATAAGCACTTGAACTCTTTGTACATTTCTTCCTTTTTAGGAAATAAAGAAGCAGACATTCACATTCCCACTGCAGTCTCTACAAGGTTTTGTTTCTGAGGCCTCCAACCTCCTAATCCAGCGCATTTTAGCTCGGGAGAAGAAGATTCCAGAGAAAATGACATTCCTGTCTTTTGCTGCTGACACCCAAATTAGGGTGTCAACCTATGTAAGTATAATGTGTGTACTTTGATTTGATCTCTGTTGTGGTTTTAAAGGGGCATTCCTGACTAAAACTAGCATTTAATTTCATATGTTATTTGTCATGTTATGCGGTATTCTGCAGCACAGTATTATACCCACGGTCTCATCGGTTTGACAGAATTCCTGATTTTATATCGTTTTCATTGTCACTGTTCGCTCACTACAATAACAAACATGCATTGAAGCATTTGAGTAAAATCAGTTTATATATGCTTAAACATTTTTAATATAAAGGAATACGTTTATTTCCACACAACAGAGAACAGCATAAAACATTATTACACCTCTGTGATATTTTTTAGCACCTTCAAACTTGAGTTAGGAGTTTAAAGACCTTTCATGAACGTTCATGACATCAGTGAACACGAACAGCCAATCAGCTGCTCCGCTCGCAAACCAATCAGCACTCAGTAGTAGTAATGCCAGCATCCTGCTGCCCAAAACCCGTTTGCTGTAGAAAAAAGGAAATCTATAAGCAAGTTTTCTTCGCTTCTTTAGCGAAATACATCCTTCTGCTTTCTAAAATTAAAGGAAAGTTCTGGGTGAGTGATTAGAAACTTGTAACTTTTTTCGTTTTTAACTGGTTAGCTCCTTTCACCCCATTCATTGAGGACTCGCTCGTGGGCGCCCCTGATGTTTTGCAGTTCTATTTTTGACATAACGGGGAAATAGGAAGAGGCCATAAACCGGTGTCAACCAATCCTGACTTCTAGCCTCACCACTTCTTTGTAGGCTGATGAATACAACCAAGCTAGCATTAGTGTCTTCATTTAGCACAAAAGGTATGCCATAAAGAAGTCAAAGAAAAGAAACCAAAGGTGTAGCCAGCGTCCTTGGTAACTTCCGAGTAACTTCTGAATCATTTGAGTAATCCAGTCCTATCTGGCTTTTATCTCCAAATATCTACCTCAAAGCAGCTGCAGTTTTGCAAAAGTTCCTCCCACCTTCAAAGTATGCCATCAGAAGGGGTTTTTTTCTAAACCTCAAACTGACAAACATAGCTCTAGAGACGTCTGCAGCACCATTGTAGGGTGTGAGTAAGCACATTTACAACAGTAGCCATTGTTTAGTTTTTCATTTTAGACGGATTGTATTTTTAAGGCCAACTTTCCCACCAAATACCATATTCTATTGTTGGCAGTTGGCTTGATACCGTTCCAGAAAAAGAAGCGAAAAATAAACCAGTTTAAAGGAAAGAATGTTCTAAAACAGTGTGAAAAAGGGAGGACATTCTAGAGTCTCCCAGCAATCACACACAGGGATGGCACACCAACCAAACATTTGGGTTTGGTGGAGAACTTTGAGTTGGTGTGCTTTGGTCTTTGAATTTTTGAATGTTTATTTCTTCTTTGAATAAGAAGAGTAAGAAGATTTAGGCAATGGTAATAGTAATGTTTACAGTTTGCATTCACCGAACAGGCATAACATTATGACCGTGCTTGTTTCTATGCTCATTGTCCATTTTATCAGCTCCACTTACTATATAGGTGCACTTTGTAGTTCTACAGTTACAGACTGTAGTCCACCTGTTTCTCTGCATACTTTGTTACCCCCTTTCACCCTGTTCTTCAGTGGTCAGGACCCCCATGGACCCTCACAGAGCAGGTACTATTTGGGTGGTGGATCATTCTCAGCACTGCAGTAACACTGATGTGGTGGTGGTGTGTTAGTGTGTGTTGTGCTGGTACGAGTGGTTTAGACACAGCAGTGCTGCTGGAGTTTTTAAACACTATGTCCACTCACTGTCCACTCTATTAGACACTCCTACCTTGTCAGTCCACCTTGTAGATGTAAAGTCAGAGACGATAGCTCATCTGCAGCTGCACAGTTTGTTTTGGTCATCCTCTAGTCCTCCATCAGTGGTCACAGGACGTTGGATATTTTTGGTTGGTGGACTATTCTCAGTCCAGCAGTGACACTGAGGTGTGTAAAAACTCTAGCAGCACTGCTGTGTCTGATCCACTCAGACCAGCGCAACACACACTAACACACCACCACCACTTCAGTGTCACTGCAGTGCTGAGAATGATCCACCACCCAGATAGTACCTGCTCTGTGAGGGCCCATGGGGGTCCTGACCACTAAAGAACAGGGTAAAAGGGGGCTAACAAAGTAGTCAGAGAAACAGATGGACTACAGTCTGTAATTGTAGAACTACAAAGTGCACCTATATAGTAAGTGGAGCTGATAAAATGGACAATGAGTGTAGAAACAAGGAGGTGGTCATAATGTTACGCCTGATCGGTGTATATACATGGATGCATATCTATTGGTGCTCTCTGCTCTTATAATTGGTGGGTAAATTACAGTGGGTCATGATTAGGCCCCACTTTGTTATTAAGAGCCTATCTCCCCATAAATTCAGACGGAGCTGGGGACAAAGAAGCAGATGGTTGGCAAAGAAGTGGTGGATGTGTTTGGCATTGAGAGGACCATCTCCTGTGGAGAAGATATCACAGAAACCTGGCACTGCTACTTTCTTCAGGATGGGTAAAACCTCCTCTTCCTTCCATGCTGAGAAACTCAGCTATTATCAGTGTTTGTGGTCTGTTTAGTCACCATAAACAGTACAGATATATTCCTTTGACTGTACGTATGAATAGTATGTAATATATTAACTCCATGGGACGTTTTGCCTGCTTCTACTCTAGGCATTTAGCAAGCAGAGTACAGGTAGGCTCTCCAGTGATGATGAACCTGCTGCAGCTTCCTCCTACAGTCAGTAAAGGTCTGTATGTTTTACCAGTCCTGGATTTTTCTTTTAAATGTTCACACGATTACAGGAAAGTGAAACCACTCTACACGGAAGTGTTTGTTTTTCAGACGAAGACCAGAAGCCAGTGTTTGAGAAGAAGCCTCTGATATGGGAGGAGGACATGGAACTCCATTCCAAGTTTCTGGACAGAAAGGTGGCAATTCATGTTCACGTATATATACTCACACTGAACTCAATAACCTAATTTTCTTTTACAATGCATGAAGACATTATACACCAAGTAACACTCTTCTTGGTTTCATTTTCTGCCCCACATAATCAATATGCTACAGGAAGAGTTGAAAGCAGACCACTCCTCCTATGTTAGACATCACCCTGAGCTGAAGACTCTGTTGGCAGACTTTCTTCAGTTCCTGTTGTTGAGGAAGCCTCAAGACATTTTCTCTTTTGCCCGTGACTTCTTTGCTCCCTTTGACGCTCGGCGCCCACCGGGCAGCAGCTTCAAGACTTCACGAAGCATGATCGTTCCTAAAGTACTGGGAGATAATAAATCCTAGCCAGTCAAGCCTTTATCTTGTGCATTGAATATTATAATAAAAGATTACTTTGTGAACTAAAGTGTTGGTGTCCTGTTTTTATTTTTACTACAACATTCCATGTATAGTGTGACAGTACATGGTTAGACCTTTATAGAATAGAATAGAATGCCTTTATTGTCATTGTATAAAATACACCGATCAGGCATAACATTATGACCACCTCCTTGTTTCTACGCTCATTGTCCATTTTATCAGCTCCACTTACTGTTGTGCTGGTACGAGTGGATCAGACACAGCAGTGCTGCTGGACTTTTTAAACGCTATGTCCACTCACTGTCCACTCTATTAGACACTCCTACCTTGTCAGTCCACGTTGTAGATGTAAAGTCAGAGATGACAGCACATCTGCTGCTGCACAGATTGTGTTGGTCATCCTCTAGTCCTTCATCAGTGGTCACAGAACGCTGCCTGCAGGACGCTGCTGGCTGGATATTTTTGGTTGGTGGACTATTCTCAGTCCAGCAGTGACACTGAGGTGTGTAAAAACTCCAGCAGCACTGCTGTGTCTGATCCACTCAGACCAGCACAACACACACTAACACACCACCACCACTTCAGTGTCACTGCAGTGCTGAGAATGATCCACCACCCAAATAGTACCTGCTCTGTGAGGGTCCATGGGGGTCCTGACCACTGAAGAACAGGGTAAAAGGGGGCTAACAAAGTACTCAGAGAAACAGATGGACTACAGTCTGTAATTGTAGAACTACAAAGTGCACCTATATAGTAAGTGGAGCTGATAAAATGGACAATGAGCGCAGAAACAAGGAGGTGGTCATAATGTTATGCCTGATCGGTGTGTACAAACGAAATTAAAAGTACTTCTCCTAAACAGACAAACAAGTTAAGAAATACAAAAACAAAACAATTCAAGAGAATAAAATATTGCACTAAAATGTAATAATAATGTATAATTATTAAAATAATAAAAATGTCTTTACTAATAAGCTAAACTCAACAGGTAGCCGTAGTCAGTGGTTATTATCTGTCAAAATATTAGATGAGACAAAGGCTACAAGGCTCAAATTCGCTGCTTATTCGAATGTTCCGTTCCACCTTAAACAGTGCAGCAGTTACATCCTGCAGTACAGGCACCAGAACGGATCCGCCGCAGCATTTAAGGTGGAACGGATAATTCGAACACGAAACCACCTTCAGATTCGTATGAAGTCTGGAATTGCTCAGTAAATTTGGATGAAACCGCAATCCAGTCATCTACTGTTTATCGTCATTTACTGAAAACTAAATCCAGTTTAGCACTTCTTTATAACATCATGAGTCACTATGGTGCTTCTTACTTCCTGCTGGTTCGTCGTTGAAACCAAAAGTACTTTCGGTGCAGTATGAAGTCTGTATTGGTGGGTCGATTCTTCACCAAGAAACCTCGGGACGTTCTCTTCTTTGGGGGTTATGTGAGTGGACGGAGACATAGCATCGAACCAAACCGACTAACACTCGTCACTTTTTAAGTGTGAAGGTAGGAAAATAGGCTTCATTTGCCGGGTTTATTCTAACTTTCAGTATCGTTTGCCTGCCACTTAGCCGGCTCGCTAACGTCAAACTGTCAAGTCGAGTAGGATTTAAGCTTCTTTTCGCTGGTGACCAGCTTAAAGGAACAGCCGACGCAGCTATGTCTGCTGGTTTTTGCGTTTTTAAGTCCTGTTTTGTGCCTATGTGTTTATATTTTCGGTAGCATTAGCCTGCCTGAGCTACCGTTAACGTTTCAGTGCTGCGTCGTTTCTGGAACTAAAGCTAAAGTTAGCTTAGCTAACCTAGCTTAGTGAAAACGTTCGTTGTTTTGGTCCCTACCGTCAGGTCAGGACTACTTCTGTTTATTTATGTATATTTATTTACTCTTTGTCGTGTTTTTTGGTCGAAAGGGTATGATTAGGGATGACACCATTAGTTTTCTGTAGAACACCTTTTACATCGCATTAAAATCTGACATATGAGTTTAGAATTAGTCAGGTCCCCCATTAAAGCGGTGAGATTCTTCAGGTTGTGGTATCAGGGAGTCACAAAAACACCAATACTAACCGTCTCTGCAATTTTAACTACAATAATCTATACATGACTATGGAATATATACATTAAATGACATATACAAAACAAATGCCAAAAAAAATAAAATATGAAAGTTAGAATTATTATTATTATTATTATTATTATTATGAAATAATCAAAGTAGGAGTGAAGTCACTGGTGTTACCGCGTAACAAAAAATCTCTCATTTTGATATAAAAATCACACCAATGACATCACTTGGTGTGTCCACTGTGTCTTTCAGTTATCAGAAATGTTCTCATTTAGCTCATGATTTCATATGAAGCTTCTAGTTGAAGTCACTGGTGAAGCAGTGACCTACTTTATTCTTAGGTAATTGTGAAAAAATAGAATACAAAATGGATTAAATTACATATTTTAGTGGATACTCCATGTGGTTTGATGCTCTGTAGCAGCCGCTTTGTAAAATGCATATTTATCAGAAATGTCTCTGGTGTCACCTTTATTATGTGTAACACCAATGACGATCAGTAACACCAGTACACCTATGGACAGATAGAAAAGTGGACGTTTCTGTAGAATGACCCAGCTAATAAGCAATGGAAGCTTATAGCCACCAATTAGCATCATACAAACTGATCTTCTAGATCATTACTCACTTCTCAAATGGAGTTAAGTAATCACAAATAGACTTGCTTTTGTGGTTTCTGTATGTCATCCTGTTGTCGATAAAACTGGACAAACATAACATAGCTAAAAACAGTAGCTAGCAGACATTTTTAAACCTGAATTTTGTCTGTATTATTGTCAGTTTTTATAAATGATACATTTTTTTATATTTATACGTGCGCAACAGTTTCAATATGTAACTGGTATAGGAATTTAAAAGTATATTGCTGATAAAACAGGTCAATCTCAAATAAGGTTTTCAAATGATGATATTTTTAAAAATCTTTATTTTATATTTATTTATTCAATTATATTTTTATATAGACATATGTATTTGCGTTTATATCTATGTGCATTTTATACCTTAAATATAGCGAGTGTTATCAATGCTTTTAATTGGCTATTTCAGTTACCGAAACTGTGCTGGGCTGGTTGCACCATTTGACTTACTGGTTGTGCTGCCTGACTTTATAGACTGGTTTGAAATTAAACAGGCATTTACTTAGACACTCGTAGAAACTTTTGAGCTTAAGTTTATACTTAGATATTTTCATCTGAATAAACTTTATTATAATAATTACACATTTTCATAGTTTTGCTGAGGTCATACTGTCTGACATGTTTCAACGAAACCATTGTAATCATGACTCTAGATCACCTGGGATTTTCTTTGTGTTGCAATACACTGACACCTCTTTTCCATAGTATGTCAAAATAAAAGTCCTTTGATTTTTTTTGGATGTGCCACCTTTGAGAAAGTAAGAACTTGCAGTCAGTGAGTTGAGTCCTTTAAAGTTGCCTTAATTGGAACATGATTTTCAATTGAAAGTTTTTAAATAAAAATCATGCCAAACTATTTTATTTAGACTTTTATATAACTAAATTATGTTTTTTGATAACTTACTTAATCAACATATATGGACAGTTGCACCACCTGACTTTTTTTAGACTTTTGGAGGCAAAAAAAATAAATAAAATAAATTTAAATGAAAATGATTTATATGTAAAAGGTATTGTTGAATATTTTGATATATGTCATGTATTTATTAAAGTAGTTTTTTGGAAAATAATGGACTTAAAAAAATTGGACACAAAAAATGCACATCATGTCAATGACCCGCTCGGTTTCTTCCGAACGTCTTTTGTGGAAACTACTGTGAACGGCTAAACTAGGCATCTGGGTGCATCCTATCAATGTAAAGTGGGTGGGGGGCTTATGTTGTGCATGCACCCATATGCAAAATTTGTATTTTTTTTTAATAATTATTAGTATTTTATTAGTATTTTTGCCTGTAAAATGTAATCTAATTTTCAATTTTGTGTATTACATTTCCATTTTATGTTTTATAACATTGTTTATATTCTTGAACATAAATGTATCAGTGTATACCTGAGGGGGATGCTGTTGATCATTTTTCCCTGTAGGTCAGAGGTAAACTCAACTGCAAGTCTCCGGCTCTGGTCTGTTTCTGAACTGCCTCACCATGAACCCCCAAACACTTCATGAAATTGACGAGGAGCTGACAAAGAGTGAGGTGGCTGCCCTGAAGTTCCTGTGCATAGACTTTGTCACCAAGAAGCGTTTGGAGGGTGTGAAGGATGCCAAGGACCTGTTCCTGCGGCTGAATGAGCTGGCCCTGCTCAATGATAAGTATCTCCTCGCTGAGCTGCTTCACACCATTGGGCGCTTTGACCTGCTGCGGCTTCTGGGCACCAACAAAATAGAGGTCGACAGCTGGCTGCAAAACTGGAGAGACTCGAACTCTGGGGTTTCACCATACAGGTAAAAATGGACAGAAGTACTTTATATAGGTTACAGCTGAGTTGAATGTTTTCTTATATTCCTATAATACCTGTCGACTTAATCTTAGTAGGAATATGATAGTGGGTGATGGAAAACCTGTAGAATGTAGGCCCTATAAAAATGCAGTTTTATTTGTTTTTCCCTTCTGTTGCTGTCAATACCTATGTTTATGTGCAGCCTAATAATCTGTTAATAATCTGACTAATAGCTCAATTGGAATAGAATACGTCCATGTAAACACCTCAGTTGGAATAGGCTAGTCCGATTGAGGCCATTCAGAATACAATTTCTGTCCGATTGATCGAGGTGGGTAGTCCTTTAAATAGTCCGTTAAATAGAAGAATAATAACCATGTAAACGCCTGTATCTGATTACATTCCCTATCGGAAAGTTTAAGTCCGTTCTAATCATGTGCGTCACGTCATAGTGAGAGTTTATAACGTTCAACATGGCGGGAGCAGAAACTGGTCTGCAGAGGAGACGAAGTTTATGCTCTGATCTTTAAAAGACGGCGGTGGGACGGACGTCCAGCTTATGTGTCTCAGAGCACGACGTCTTCCTCTCGGCCTTCTTTAATAAGGACATGTGAAGGACGTTTTCCTGAGTCTGACATCATTTTAAAGGCATTAAAAACAAGCGCTGCTCACTGCTGCTCATCTCACTCTGACTGGACTCACGTGATGCTGGTTGTCATGGTGACGTCTACACTAAGTGGTTCTCTACACATGTGCGTCGTTTTGGATCGGATTACTTGTAGTGAGCATGTAAACGGAGATTTTTCATCAGAGTGAGTTTATAAACACTTCAGTCTAAATCTGTATTTGGAATGTATTCAATCGGATTGGCAAAAATCTTTGCATGTAAACACAGCCACTGATTAAATATATATGTCTGCCAGTATTTTCGAACTATCATATATCTGTGCGTTAATTTGTTGTTGAGTTCAGTGCTGTGTAGACTGTGCAGCTTCATTTAAAGCAATTTGTCAAATACTTGCAAATCCCACAATACAGCAGTTTTTGCTGAACAACTGTTGGTAAATGCTGGACAGTGGTAAGGAAAGCAAACCACAGCTGATAGTACTAGCTCCAGCAGGCTAATGACTTAGCTCAACACACCACAGATCAGTTCTCACATTCTGTCTTTTGGTCACTCCAGCACCACTTGAAATCACTCACTCAATTGAGTTTTGGATATCAAGCCTGTGTTGTGGTGTATTAACCTATTTTTGTCTACTCGCTAAACTTCTCTACTACTTCCTCTGATGTTATCAAGCACAGTGTAAGTAAGAACATTAGCAGAGCTAATGACTCATCACACAAAAAAATGATTCGCTGCCTCGGATTTTTTGGCCTATGTTGCTTTAGCCTCTGGTGCTACTTCAGTCTGCTAGTAGGACAGTTCAACACATTATATTTGACAGTTTATTAGACAGATGTGGAAAATAAGACTGTCATCATTTTAAGTACCACCATTTATTTATTTTAGCTAACTGTTAGCTACATCTCACACATTACGTTACCTATGATGGTACTTGCTCTCATTAGCATATCACTGCTGTCGGGACAAAACCTAGTATCTCCATTTTTGGCGTTTTTCAGTTTTTGACATAATTTGAAAATACCTGTTACTCTTTACATTGTCTATAAATTTCATGATGAACGGACCAAAAGAAATGACCAAAAATTATGTAGAAAAAAGTCTGGTTCCATTGACTTACATTGAAAGTAAAAAAGTTTTTTTCCTTTTCCTGTAAAATTGTAATTTTGGAGATACGAGGTAAGAAAAACTCATGAGATTTACCAAAAAAATTCTCACATGAAGACTTGACAGCTATAATTACCAAGAGAATTTTGTTTTGTTTTTGTAACACTGTCATATTCTTTGAAATGTACTTGATTGCCAATTCCTGAAAACCACATCTACTATCTGACGTGTCACTCCTGTGTGTTTCAGAATAATGCTCTATAAGCTGTCTGAAGACACAACTGATCAAAACCTTCGGACTGTAAAGTTCCTTCTGGACAAACTGCCCAAATCAAAACTACAAGCATGTGCTGTGAGTATACACTGAGCTGAACATTTTTTATGTACCCTTACCTTGGTCCTGCGCTAACTGGCCATTTTATCAGAAACACCAACCATATAGATGCAGGTTTACAGTTACTGACTGTAGCCCCCTCTGCCCCGTACACTGATATAAACTGACCACCACAGATCTAAAGCTGACCAGAAAATGTATGAACATTCTCAACACAGCAGTGAGACCTGCTTAGCAATGGCATGTTAGTGGATGTTGTGCTGGTACAAGTGTATCGAAAGCGTGTTCTTCGAAGGCTGTGTAGACCTACGAAGGCTGGACTGAAATGAGACGGCCTGCCCTATGGCAGATTTTCTGTTAGCGTCACAGCACCGCTGTTCCCGCCCTTATCGCTGTGTCACCAAGCGCTGCACTTGTCAAGTTCTTTTAAAGTTCTTTAAAGATGGAGCCAGAAACTTTGATTTTCGTTTTTTTTATTAGAGCTGGAGATGCTTCTCTCTGCCTGCTCCATGCTCCCAAAAAAAAATGAAACGTTAGCATACGTTTTGCTTCAGACCACATTGGCTTTTTAAAAATTTGTATCATAAGATACTCGAATCATTTTAAACCCAACACTAATATGTAAAGTTGTACTCCTCAGCAGCAGTTTACTCCTCTGCTGACGTCACCATGTTCTTGAATCTCTGCCGGCACGCAGTGAACCTCGGGATGTGTTGGCTGGTGAAGGATCCACCAGTTGGATTGAAATAGGACAGCTTAGTCGAGCCACTGTGACACAATCGGCCTTCAAACGCAGCCTCCGAAGGACGCAGCGCCTGTGAAAAGCCTCCCTAAGAAATCCATTACTGGAGAACTTCAGGCAAAGACAAGTAAGTGATTTTATGTACGTTAGTTGTTTTCATACTCTTCTTTAATCTCACAGACACTCCTGGATGTTCTGACTGAGATGGAGAAGGTGCAGATGCTCGGGGAAGATAACCTGGATGAACTGGAGAGGATTCTGGGTGAATGTGATAAACAGCTGGCAAGCAGGGTACAGGAATTCAGGAACCTGCAAACAAGAGAACCACACATCCCCAGGCAAAGTGAGTCTTTATTTTACTCTCTCTCTCTCTCTCTCCCTTTGTTTCACATAGGATAACAATCACATACTATCACTTTCGAGGAAGAAGCCCCCGAAGGTTAAGATGTCCCCTCTCTTATCTTCTTTCCTGATCAACTGTTGCGGTAAAATCCAATCTAGAAGCATTTACTGAATGACTGTGGTCTAGTTAATTCAGAAATTTTGTAGTGCCACATTTAAAAACAGACAACAAAACCTGAGTTGGATGATTTTTATTAAGTGTTATCCCAGGTAGGGGAACATATTGACCCGATAGTAGGGGAGAGATGTCTCTTCTAAAGGTTTTCTTTTTTGTGCCATAAGATCAAAACTCTCTCCTGTACAGTTTATTTCCCTTAACTGTGTGTGCTTATGCATCCTGTAAATGCTAAACTAACAGATATGGTTAAGCTTTGAAGTAAATAGGCATTGTTATTAAGAAGCCCCCCTGCCCTCCACATCCTTTGCACTGCTGTGTTCTACTCTCTCATTTTATGTCTACCCTTGTTTTACTCAGATTATCCTAGTCCTCCTCAACAAGAAGAATCCATGGACATTTCCAATGTAAGTAAAAGAGAACTTGATTAATTTTTTTGCTAATTGGGTTCAGAAAAACTTAAGAAGTTCTTCTGAAACATGTTTTGTTATCCAGTTTTCATAATGAACTTATTAGTAGTACTGTGGAGATGATGTAGTTACATGTGTAGAGAATTATGTCTTTCTTAATATCTGTACTTTTTATAAAGAAAATTTGTAATATTTGAACCTATTGTAAAGAAAATTCTCACACCCTTATGAAACTCTGTTCTAGCGAGATATTATGAAAACAGTTAACTATTATAATTTTGGTCAATAAAATGATTTCAATAAACAATTATGTATATTTTTATGAGCCCATCCCTTTCCCATTTGGAAATAAGGGGGACTGGAAGGAAGGAAGTTCTGGAAAATAGAAAAAATAGGATGTAACTGGACTTGGTAACAAATTTATATTCAAATCAGGACCAATTGATAGCTAATAAATGCATGATATTAAAGAATTAATGGTTCCCAAATTATGCAGAGGTGAAAAAAAATGGGATGGGCAATGGAGGAGTTATATGAACCCCTTCTTCAACCTAGACGGTCTAAAAATTCATTTAATTCTTTGAGTGGTTGTTACTTCTCAAGAACTAACTCAGACTAATGCTCTTTATCTGTAACAGCCTTAATCTGTAATAAACTGTTAAGTTTGCTTGAATTATTTTTATTTTTGATTGTAATATAAGATGTTTATTGACAATCCGCAACACATTTGTCTGATTCAGTGGTAAATATTGGCACGTCTGCCCTTGTTTTAACTTAAATACTGTTTTTTTGTTTTATTTCTCCCCTGCTTTCCTCTGGAATAATAAGGCACTGAATCCTCTGTCCATCATAGAGACTTTACCAGAAGGTGAGACTTGAGATTTTTTTTCCTTTTTTGATTCCATCCATTTCAAACTCGCACACACGTCAAATGCTTTTTCACAAAACATGGAGCTCAAGATTAAAATAGAAGCATGTGATCTTACATTGTCCTCTTTTTCTCCCTCCCTCTGTTTCTGTTGCTCCTTTGCTTCCTTCCTCTTCACTACATTCTCAGATACTCCCTCTTTAGCGGCTGTGGTTACTGATGCACAGGATCTCCCAACTACTATAGATGCACAAGAAGAGGTATTTTAAAAAAAATGTTCATCTTTGATTTAAAAATATGGAGCCGTTTTTTTTATAGTTACACTCTCCTATTCATCACTGTAGGCAGACCACTATTATTCACTGACGCGGCGGCCTCGTGGGTACTGTCTGATTATAAGCAACTACAGCTTTGTGAATGCACGTCCACTACGAGACCGAAAAGGAACGGATAAAGATGAAGGTATGTTTATTGTCAAGTTCATATATATTGACCAGCCAAAACATTATGACCATTCACAGATGTTATGAGATTATCAATGTTATTCTCTTCAGTGGCGCATGTCAAGGTCTGAGATGTATTAGACATTAAGCAAACAGTCGGTTCTCGAGTTGAAATGTTGGATGCAAGAGAAATGGACAGGTGTGAAGAACCCCTTGAAACCTAAGATTTTTCTTTAGTTATTAATCTTAGGACTCATTCAATAACCATGAATTATTTAACTGATACGTTGCAAAAAATAAAATCTTGGAATCTTCGGAGATTGTTGTAAGACCATTATAGGATTATATGCTTCTTAAACACATAACACAAAAGTAATACTTGAAAAAGCAAAAGGATCTGCCAATACAATAAGACTAGAGTTCTCAAGATCTACAATTACTTAAAAAAATAGAAATAAATTGAATAATTTAACAATCTTACAATAACAAAATAATAAAAGATTTTTTTTGTGGCCTTCACACCAGTGGTCACCAACCCTCCTCCAAGATCTGCTAACACTTATCTAACACTAATGGCAAGCAAGCAAAGTTTATTTATATCGCGCTTTTTACAACAGGTGTTGTCACAAAGCAACTTTACAGAAAAATCCGGGTCCGAGCCCCCATGAGCAAGCTAGTGGCGAAAGTGGCAGTGAAAGAGTGATAGGAAGAAACCTTGAGGGGAACCCACCCTCCTCTGGTCGACACCGGATAGCAAACAGTGTTAGTATAAAGTATTATAGTACAAAACGGGGAAAGAGACTCCAGCAGGTCCAGTTATTACAGCCCTTTACTAAAAGGGGAGAAGCCCGAGGGTAACAGAGACATGAGGGCTCCTTGAGATGTCGGCACCGATCCGCTCCACCGTCAGCAAACTTGGGTGAACGCGTGAGAGCAGCAGGACGACAGCACCAACACTGTAATACTCTATGACCATGAACCCCCAGATCTGCACCTTTTATCTGACAGGGAAAACTAATTACCAAAGGCTCGACTAAACAAGTAAGTTTTTAGCCTAGACTTAAAGACTGAGGCTGTGTCTGAGTCCTGAACATTGACAGGACGATTATTCCAAAGCTGGGGGGCTTTGTATGAGAAAGCTCTCCCCCCTGATGTAACTTTATTAATTCTAGGTACTAATAGTGAGCAGCACCTTGTGATCTAAGTAGGCGTGATGGTTCATAGTAGGAGAGAAGTTCACTCAGGTACTGAGGGGTGAGTCCGTTTAGAGCTTTAAAGGTCAGTAAGAGAATTTTATAATCGATGCGAAATTTAACTGGCAACCAGTGTAGGGTTGATAAAACTGGGCTGATATGGTCATCCAGCCAGCAGGGCATTACAGTAGTCTAGCCTTGAAGTAATACATGCATGAACTAACTTTTCTGCATCCTGTAGAGACAGTGCATTTCTTAATTTAGCAATATTGCGGAGATGCAGGAAGGCTGTTCTAGTAATGCTCGTTATATATGCATCGAAGGACAAATCAGGATCTGTTGTGACATCAAGATTTTTACAGATAAACCTGATGCAACTGAGAAATTATTAAGTTTGAGTGTAAATTTAGACAGTTTGTTTCTAGCAGCTTTTAGACCAAGAAGCAGCGCCTCTGTTTATCCGAGTTAAGTAGGAGAAAGTTACTCGACATCCAGTCTTTTATGTCTTTTATACAGTCCTCAGTCTTTTTTTATCAAGTTTAATTTTACCTTCTGGTTCGCTTTATATATATAACTGAGTGTCATCGGCATAGCAGTGGAAATGTATGCCGTGTTTACTGATAATGGTGCCCAGTGGTAGCATATATATTGTGAATAATATAGGTCCTAAAACAGAGCCTTGTGGAACAACATACTTTACTTTTGCGAGGACAGATGATTCACCGTTTACATTAACAAACTGATAGCGGTCAGTGAGGTAAGATCTGAACCAGGAAAGAGCTGTTCCTGTTACCCCTACAAGGTTTTCTAGTCTGTCTAGTAATATAGAGTGGTCTATCGTGTCAAATGCCGCACTAAGATCGAGGAGGGCTAGCAAAGACACATTCCCTTGATCAGAGAATAATAGATGATCGTGTACAATTTTTACTAGTGCTGTCTCTGTACTATGATGTGGCCTAAAACCAGACTGAAATTTTTTAACTTCTTTAGAAGTCTTTAGAAGTTTTAGAAGTTCTAAAGAAGTTAATCAGTTGGAGCAGCTGTGGCAAATAGTAGATGAATACTGACTCTGCAGGAAGGTAGATCTCTAGAAGCAGGTTTGGTGACTACTGATTTAGAGTTTAAGGTTTGAAGTGATAATCCATGATCAGATTATGGTTAGCAGGTTGTTTATGTAAACAGATTTATTGTACCTATATTGTTTTGAGACTATGAGATAATAAACAGTGCCGTTTCTTTCAGTCTATCACACGTTCGTTTTTTCTCTCTCCGTTAGAGGCGCTCACCAGAATATTCTCCAAGCTGCATTTTCTGCCACAGAATAAGACGGACCTGAGCAGCTCAGCTATGCGGGATATAATAAAGGAGTTTGCAGAGATGGACCACTCTCAGATGGATGCCTTTGTCTGCTGTATCCTCTCTCACGGGGAGAAAGGAACAGTCCTCGGCACAGACGGCAAACCGGTGCTGATTCGTGACCTCACGATGCCGTTTGCCAGTTGCCAATCACTGTGGAAGAAACCAAAGCTCTTCTTCATCCAGGCATGCCAGGGCAAACAGCTGCAGAGGCCCGTGTACATTCAGGCAGACGGTGACGAAAAATCAGACGATGATGAGTATGAAGATGACGCCCAGAGTGTTGCGCTCCACAGTATTCCTGTTGAAGCTGATTTCTTGATTGGAATGGCAACAGTGGAGTCCTACAAGTCTTTTCGCCATACTTACACCGGATCTATCTTCATCCAGGAGCTTTGCAAACAGCTTGAAAACGGCCTGCGAAGGTGAGGAGATCATTTAACTTTACTTATGTAACTCATCAATAGCATTTGTTGTAGAGTTATATTTACATCCTCTGAAATTTTTTTTATCTTTCTGGGTCAAACACCTGTAAAACCTATAACATATCAGAAGAAATAGCTTTTAGCAACATTGGTGCATGGAAAAAAGTAATTTATTGAACTTCAAGCATGTACATACAGTACTGTGCAGAAGTCAGAGACCACCCCTCATTTCTAAAATTTCCGTTCCACACAACCATTTTATTACCATGTTATTTACTTTTTTTAAACATCAGGGGAAAATAAATACATTCAACACTGTTGAGGTCTGAACTCTGGGGTGGGAGCTTCTTAGCTTTGATTTGCAGATGTTCTTTTTCACCTATTAGTTTTCTCAGTAAGGGCTTCTTGAGAGCTACAAATCATTTCAGAGCCTTAGTGTTGAGTTTTTGAATTTTTCAAATCTGAAGCAAAAATGCAGCTTGATTTCCTTTCAAAGACGAACGTTTTAAGTACTGTTTATCTGATAGTGACAGTTTTCATGGTCAAACAGGTCCTACACGTTTGTTAGGAGTCCCATTTTCTCTAGATCATTTGATCATTCTTAACTCAAGGTTCGGAAGCTCCTGTTATTTCACATATTTTCCTTTGACTTTCCCCTTAATGGTCATTTTGACTGGAAATTAAACCATAGATGGGTGTTCTCTAACTTTTGCACAGTGGTGTAATTTCCACTTAAAAAATACATAAGGAAAGAACATCAACACAATTTTGTATTTCACTTTTCTTACTTTTGGCAATAGTTGATAGTAGATGTAGATGTAGTCTACTATCTGATCAGTGTGGAACTGATGTACACGTATGGGTCAAGTTAAGTTAATGCATTGTTTTTCAGTACAAATAACTACTAAAAAACCCACACAAGTCTGCATTCAGTTGCGTTATCAATGGCTTTTGAACTGTATCATGTGACTGGTGTGTATATACACAGATATAACCATATTTCTTGAAATATACTTATATTTTCTTTGTTTTTCCAAACCAGCAAAGAAGACATTCTTTCCATTCTGACGAGGGTGAACCGAGAAGTGAGCGTCAGAGTGTTAATGGGCCACAAGCAGATGCCTGAGCCACGCTACACTCTGACCAAGAAACTGGTCTTTACTGTGGACTGAATCTCCTGATTAACTGTGCACAGATATGTTCGCTTCTTGTGATGGGATCTTCTCAGTCTTCCGTTAGACCATCTGGTCTCTGTTCCACTTCAGTGGTATGTGGGCCACTGAGGTTCTGTGGATGTTTTTTTGTATGTTCTTATCTGTGTGAATTGTTTAAAAAGATAAAAAGATTAGGAATATATGAAATGCTTTGAAGCCATGAAAGTGCTTGCAATCATTATTTGCAGTCATTATTTGAGGATTTAAAGTAGTAACCTATGGGACAAATAAGAAATTGTGTTGTTTCTGTTAAATAAAAGCATGAATACATACAAAAATTAAGAATTTAAAAATATAGAATTATATAAAACTATAACTATCTGACTAAAACTATCTGAGCCTAATCAGTGTCCAAATAAACTGAGAACAATGCTGAATGTCATAAAACCTTTTTAAAAGATTATATTTTCATACTTTTATATGAATGCATTTACAAAATTTCCTGGACATCCAACAATAACAATAAAGTGCTATATATTTTTATAAGTAGCATGGAAAAGTATGTCATACTCTCAACTTGCCTGCACTCCGAAAGTAAGACCTACACAAGGTTGGACTGACTTCATCAGACCATCAGGTCTGACCCACGATGTTCTCTCAATCAGATGAGGTCAGGCCATCAGCCTCCTCTCAAAGCTCTAGTGTTTTACAGCTTATGAATGTTGTCTGCTGTATGTATGCACTACGTTGGATTTCCGTCTTCGTGCTTTGTCCAGCAGAAGGTGTGACTCTTAAAATGCATTGATCTGAACAGTTCAACGATGTCAACTTTAGAAAGTCATAACTGATTTCAGTAATATTCAGTTTCTGGACTATTTGCCCAGAGACGTGAAGATGGGTGTATTGTTTATGGTTCATACTCTCAGAAAAACTACATTTTTGGGTACAAACAGCATCAGTGGGGTCTTCAGTACCTTTAGTAAGGGAACATAATTGTACCATGTTCTATTGCAGTTATATTTTTTGGGTTATATCCACTCTATATACCTTATCCTGACCCCAAACCAATTTTACCTGACCTAATTTTGTTTTTCCTTGGGGAAAGTAAAAACTCACGTTGAATCTTGGGGATCACTCTGTACTTTTCAGGGCAAATTTGCATTGTTTGTACCTTGATCAAAAATGGAACAGTACAGTGTCCTCTTTTGCATTGTATTATTGGACCATTCTACCAAATTTGTTCAAACTGTAGCCCTACAGTTAAAAAAAAAACATAAAAATAAAGTATTTAGTCCTTCGATGTTTACAAGGATTATGCTATGATCTGTTTAAACCCAAGACATTAATTGAGATAGAAATAAACGAAATGTATACAAAAAAATAATTAATATTGGTCAAATATCATTTATATGGTACTTTCTATTGGGAGGTGGCTCTCCCAAATTTTTTGTTTTTTTTTCACTATTTTTTTTTTTCAGATCATTTTGATTTAAACTTGAAAGATCTACTTTTTTAATGGTTTTATATTTTAAATAAAGAAAAAGTATTAAAAAAAATGCTGTCCCATGTTTTTAAGTCAAGGCCACACCACAAAGGGTTTTAGTCCATAGACAAGCCTTATTTTAGCCACACCCCTGCATTTTAGAGCAGGAAGGAACACTGCATTCCTGCTTCTCATGACCACATGATGAGCAGTTAGATCTTATCGGGCCTCATTCACCAGTATCCCCCTAGGTTTCTTCTTAACTGTGTTCTTGAGAAAGGTCCTAAGAAAAAGTCTACGTCAGATTCATGACATGTTCTTAAACCACAGAACTGTTCACACCTTGGTGCTCCAGAATCACTGAAAAAAAGAACACATTGGATTTACTCAATTCAATAGTGGACATTGGTTGCACACATATCGTTTGCTTTGGCAGCAACTTACACAATTGTGTTAAATACAAATAAACTATTAATGTTCATTCAACACAAAGAACGTGTTGAACGAACATAAATAGTTTGTTTTGATTTAAATCCATTTCTGCATGTTAAATCAAGACAAACTATGTTCAAATCGACACAAATACTTGGTTTTAAATGAACATACATAGTTTGTTTTGATTTAACACAATTCTCAGTTAAATCAAGACAAGCTATTTATGTTTAATCAACACAAGTATTGTGTGTTGATACAAAGCTACTGAAATTTGATTTAATAAAGTAAATTAAATTATTTGATCATTTTATTCCAACACAATTCAGTCCCCCCACCATTCTTTAGTCACAACTCTAGCAATATTAGTTATTTTTTTTACCATATCAATGTTTCATCATGGTAAAATTTAAATTCCATCCATTTAAAAAGTGTTAATCTATAATTAAATATAAAAACGATTAAAAATAATTAAACTTTCAGCAAGTATTGTCTTGTTTAATACCTTTAAGTTTCTTGATCATTCCTAACATCATCCACTTTTCATTGAAAACAAGAAGTTTAACAAAGTTTTGTTAAACTTTTATTCCAGAAATGGAATAAACAGCAGGTGTCCCCATTCTAAATGGACCAACTTACAATGTCACAAAATGTCAAATATTTTCAACAACTAGAAAACATAAAAAGCAAAGCTCTGCAGATAGCAGTGTTGTAACCTAGCACACCACAGGTGCACCTAAAGTGCAGCAATGTCATTATTATTCACATCACATATGATCAGTAAAATAGTAATATCAAATATGTAGAGAACTGCACAGTAATTACAACTGTAAAACAGCAAACAGAATATCAACAATCAAATAGGCTAAGAACTTCACAGTAATTAAAACAAATATCTGTAAAACCAGCCACATTGCTCAGTCCAGGAATGCAGAACTACCCTTCTTTTACAGGAAGGGTGAGCCAAGAACAACACAGTTCTCCTTACTGGTGTACTTTAGTTTTCAAGCTTTGGGCCTTTCTTGATAGATCGGCTGCATCCAACTCCATTATTACCTTTTGAATAACTTCCAGGGTGTAGCGCAGCTTCGACGGGTACCTCATATTTAAGATGTAAAAAAGTCCAAACAGCATGGCAGTTGCAAGGGCCACATTCTCCAGATCGTAAAGCACCACCACACCCTTGAGGATTACTTCCACATCAGAAGAGTTACTGCCGGGAGTCTCTCTGGCTACATAGATCCCCACCGTTGTTCTCTCTATGGCACTTAGTGTGTTGGCCTCAGTCATGTCCTGAGAAAGGAAAATCATTTCTTGAAGGATAGGCTCCTCATTAAGAAACTACAGTTTTAAGAATGACATTCTTTCAACCATTAGCTCAGGGCTAAGAAATGCAGCACTTTGCAGCATCTTCTCACTTGCCTTGTAAACATCTAATGGGATCATCACTGTACGGTTACATGAACCCTAACAATGTGACTAAGGTCATAATGCAAGTAATGCGGAACCCATGTAAATGGTGGACTTTGATTACAATGTCAGTAAGCTCAATGTGAGTAAACATTAATTTTACACACAATCACACTGAGCATACACCAATTTTAGTTTAATGAAATGACTTTTGCTATTTAACCACCCTGATCACTTTATGACTGCACTTCAGATTGACAGTTTGACACATCCGAATTGCTTAATAGCTATCAAACTTGGTTTAAATCACGTGAATAAAAACACTGTGGTGAAACAAGAACGTTCACTACAGATGAAAGGTAATTTCTTTTGCTCCAAAGCGACTCAACCTTAAATTTGTTTCTTCAATTACATCACTTTTCAAAAGAAAGTTGGAGAATGAAGAAAACAGGTTAAATGCAAATGACATCACATGCTGTAGACTAAAAAGCAAAGCATTAAGTCCTACTCCCACTACAGATTCATAATTCATCTTACTATCTAAAGTGATAAGCCCAGCAGACAAAGGATACTGCAACCAGAATAAGCTATACTTAAGTCTAACTGTATTAATTCTATAGTGTCTCTGCAATTACAAAACCGCTTCACAATTTTTAGAGTTGATAGCCCTTGTTAATTATAGTAGAATCAATTATAATTAAATACAGAATCATACATTTAAATGAAATTCATTAAGATGATTAAACTTTTTTTGCCAGCCAGTTACAATAAATATGCTGCTTTGTTGGAATAATAAGACAACACAGGTATGTTCAGCAATATGAAGTTCTTATAACTTATGCTACGTATTACTTTTTTTCTGAACGTTTATACAAACATTCATTTGAGATGTGGCAAAGGCACCACCTACTTTTGCACACTCACCATGTACTCCTGCACCAGATCCTCAGGTTCCTCATTGAGGTACATGCAGAGTCCTTTTATGATGCACTCTCTGCCAGCATCAACGTCATCCTCAAGGATTACAACAAAAGAACAGAGACAGTGGGCAAAAATGTTTTGTAACAGCAAAGCATCTCCATAAACAATTTGTAAAACGAATAAAATGCAAAGACTCCTAGCTGTTTACCTATGGAAAATGACAATTCACAGCATTTTGTATTTAAACAAAACAAGGGTAACTTTACTTACTGTTGCTTAATGTGGACTGTGACTTAAGCGTGTTTCAATCTGCTTTAAAACCAATTGCCCCTCTGGGTACAAATGATGTTATACTTGGCGTGATAACCATTGCTTAGTGACAGTTTTGTAACAGTAATCAGCTGATTATTTTAATTCACCCTTTACATCCAGGGTGGGCAACCCTGGTCCTGGAGGGCCGGATTCCTGCAAAGTTACACCTACCAAACCTGGCTATTAGCTGATAAGTTGAATCAGGTGTGTGAGTAGGCAAATCACCAAACTCTGGAATCTGGCCCTCCAGGACCAGGGTTGCCCACCCCAGCTCTACAATAAGCGGTTAGCTGTATTTCAGGTGCAGGTACATCTCTGTTTTAGACAATTCAGGTCCTTAGTTTGAGCCCAAATGAAGCCAACATTTTTCAAATTCATTTTTCGGGTAGCTGTGCATCTTTAATAATGACCTCATCCTGCCCTAGTGAATGTGATAAATTTACAAAAATCTCTCACAATGGGGCAGTATGAGTGCATTATTAATTTCCTGGTGTAAAGCTAGCACAGGCTTCCTCCGAGACATGTGAAGAGTCGCTGCATCTTTTTGAACTGCAGCTAACACAACAACACTGGATATCTGAACGGGCTCGGAGGAAAGCACCAACCGCCAGTTCTGTTATGTCAGCTAACAGACGCCTGAGCTGACTAGCATCCTGCTGATAGGGGGAGACAGGGGGGCCATCCAACCCACCCAGAGAGCAAAGCCAATTGTGCTCTCTTGGACTCCCGGCCACAGATGGCTGTGGCATCACCAAGGAATGTTTTATATATATACACATATATACATACATACATACATACATACATACATACATATATATATATATATATATACATACACATATACACACACATACACACACAGTGTATATATTTGTTTACTTAATATTAGTTAAACATCATTGCAGCATTTGATGTTAACGAATACATGACAATGTACTCAAATTGAATTCCCCTTTAAATAGTTTACAAAAAAAAACACCTTACTGTCATCATGGCAACCATGTCTCTAAGCTTCTTGCCCTGCTGCCCTGATCGCTTCACAAACACCCTCAGGAGATTTGCAGAGTGTAGGTCAAGTTGCGACAGAAATCTGGACTGTAGAGGCATAGCTGTGATACGCCTGAACTCTGCGTTTATCTGAAACAACATGTTACACCAAAACAAAAAAAGAACACTGAAGCCCGCATTCAAATTACTATGGAAGAGCTTATGACAGCTTACACCAGTTTATGCTTCAGTTGTAAGCCGGGCGTGTTTTGGCTCACGTCATCCTCAACGCCATTAGTCCATACAGGTGTTATTTAAAACTCTGTCATGTGACATTCACATGTTTATTGAAACCAACATAAGAATTCAATGCAACAAACACACAGATATATATACACACACACACACACACACACACCTATATACACAGACACACACATTTGTTGCACTGAATCCTTAACGCAGGTTTATGTTGGTTTCGATAAACGTGAACATCATGTGACACTCCTTTTTTTAAATAACCCCTTTATGTAGTAATTCTGAATGTCTTTGGAAAGCACAAGGTGAAGAATGTCCTCTTTAAAACTAAAAAAAATAATATAGGTGTAAACCATAAAAAGCTCTTGCGTAGTTAAATGTGAACCTCCGTGTTTTAACTTGTACTTCGGAGAGCCAACACACCAGTAAACGAAAGGTATACATTGCTCTTTTATACCAAAGCATCTACCAACCACATCACTGCATGCAAAAGTCACCATGATTGGAAGGTTTTTCTTTTTTTTTTAAACTTACCTCAATTACATCAAAGAGAGCTGGCCATCTCTCTTGTACATCACTGACCATGGGAGCATCAA